AGGGTGGGGGGAGCGGCGGGTCCGGGACTTGGGGAGAATGCGGGCAGGGACGGGGACTGAGGACGCAAGGCCCCGGAGGTCACCTCCCGCGTCCCACCGCTTATCGGGAGCGCACATGCCGCCTCCGGTTTCAGCTTCGCTCCTCGCCAGAACCCCCTGAGTTAGTCTCACGCCCCCAGCGTGGCGGCTCCGCCGGGCTGACAGCAGCCTCTCCCCGCAGCTCCGCAGGCCCCGCAGCCCCGGCGAGGAGCGTGGTCCGCGGGCGGTGCTGCCTGGGAAGGGACGGATCCGGTACGGGTACCGGGGTGGCAGACCTGACTCCCACGCCCCCAGGCCGCGGGCCCGCCCTCTCGCCCTTTCGCCCGTGTCTCTACTGGCGGAGCGACCCTGAAGTCTTGCTCACTTTCTCGCCGACTGAAACTCGGGCGTTGGGAAAGACTGTAAACGAGGTTTAAAACCCAGCTGTTGGCAAGATCATGTGGCTAAGAATAAAACGATATTCTTTGGGACACAAAGCCACCTGCTCCTGTCCCATCAACTGGAAGGAGAGTCTGCCTGGTTGATATTAATTAGTTCAGGCCCCGTTCTTCGGGTTTACCCAAATCTATGTTATTTGACAAATGCTTGCTTGGACGGTGTAGGGATTTTTCGTGCTTGAGCCAGTTTGGGGACCCATCTCCCCCTCTCTTATTTGATTATAGTGACCCGATTTGGAACATTTTTTGAAAATGTTAATTGCTTGAAAAGAAGTATTTGGTAGTTGCTTAGATTTTTAGGCTTAGAATAAACTTTATCTTGAAGTTTGGTTAATGTCTATTGGAATTAGTTGTACAACATCTTTAAAAAAAACTTTCTGACAGTAACTTTTTGAGCTCTACAGGAAAGTGACAAAGTAGGACTTTTAAAGGTAAAAACTTTGGCTCATATTCGGAGACATAAGTCTGGTACTGGGATCCTGAAGGGTAAGAGTCTCTTTCAGTTGTCAGGCTCTTCCCTGTGCTAATTAGATGCAGTATTGAGCTCTTCAGATTCCACGTGCTCCTTTAATCCTTAACTACACTGCAAGATATATGTTAGCATACTCACTTTGAGGATGGAGAAGTGAGGCTTAGAGAGGCAAGTTACTTGACCCAGGTCACACTGCTAGTTATAGACCCAGGATTTAACCACGGTCTGCCCGGAAAGCCTAAAGTTTATTGATGGTACCCGAATACTTACCTGGGAATTTGGGAAATTTATATAACCTTATTAAAATTTACTGCACAGGTCTGGGTTTGAACTACTTAAAGCAGAAACTAAAAGCTGGTGAATTTGTTCCCTTCATTTAAAAATCAAGAGACTCCCCTACACACACACACACACACACACACACACACACACACACACACAGGATAATTTGGCTTCACTTGTCTGTTTCTATATGACATCAGGGCAGCTAAGCTGCCCTGTTAGACCATGCTCTCTCCAGATAGCCATAGTTACAGCCCACCCCTTCAGCTTCTGTTCACTTACTTTGTTTGGTATTTGTATTTGAGGCACTAGATTTTTGTTTTAAAATTTGCTATAGAGCAAAGGTGAGCTTGATTGGGGGAAAGAAAGTGAGGAAGCACCTCCAGAGTAATGGTCACACAGATTTCCTTCTCTTCCCTTCGGGATTTTGGTCACACAGACACACATGCCCTGCATGTTGTTCAAGCTGCTGGGCCCAGAACTCGAACCATGCAGTTGGAAATGTGGAGATCTGGTCGCCATAACCACCAAGCTTTTAGCTGTCCTGAAATACCAAGTTTTGAAATTTGATTTATTAAAACTTACTATGGGGGGCAGCAGTTGGTGTAATGGCTATGTCGCTGGACTCCCATGTAGTCGACCACAGCTTGAGTCCTGGACCCAGCGGCTTAAACTCACGGGCACTTGTGTATGCATGCCCAAGATCCCGGGAGGAGAATGGAGGAGAAGGGATTGCAACATGACCATCACCCCCACCCCCCGGGGGGTAATTGCTCGCTTTCTGTCTCTCTGTCTCTGTCTTTCTGGCAAGGCACGCGCCCTATAGCAAAAACCTCTCAAAAAAAAAAAAAAAAAAAAAACTTTACTATGAAGTTACACATTGATTTGAATCCTCACCTTCCAACTCTCGTTGGATTGGACAGGTACAAGATGGCTAATACTCTCTTAAGTATTATAAGAGGAAGAAAATTCCTGCTTGTGAGGGTGTAGGAAGATTCCGTGAAATAAGAAATAGGGCCAGTACTTAATAACTGCTCAGTGAAGGGTAGTTTTTCACTACATGGGAGTTAAAGAAAGAATGTTCTTTCTTTTTTATAGTTGGTCTTGTCACCGTGGTTTCTATGGAAAAGATGTATAATTTATAGTAGGATTTTAAAGCTGGATGATTCCTTGCAGTTCATCCAGGACGAGGTTCCTCATTTTATAGGCACAGAAGCAACTTTTAGGGTTGAGACTTGAACACTTTGATTTTGCCACTTTGAATGGAACAACATAGGTATTATTTATTTTCTTTTTATTTTAAATTGATTTATTTTACATTCTTTCACTGAACATCACCACAGCATACAAAATGCGATTTTCCAGCCAGAAGGCCGTGCAGAGTGGCTTAATCATACATGTTATTGTCCACAAATAATTTTCCATTTCTTGTTTCTTGTATGTATATATTTTCCCCCCATTTCTCACCCTCTGCCATTTCCCATTCTCCTCCCACCCTGTCTCTTGTATCTACAGTTGCTTTCCATTCCTTTATTCTTTCCCACATTTCATTGATTTACAAAAATATCTAAATTAAGTACTTTCAGCTGATATATACATCTCTGTGAACAACAGTTGACTTTAGGCATGAAACTGTGGGTAGAATGAATAGACTATAAAGTAGCACTTAGCTGAGACTGTATAGCTTACTACAATCATTAAATAGGTATTTTTAAAATTCTTTTTTTTTTTTAATTTCAAGAAAGGTGGTTTTAGCTTTAATAAATCAAAATCCAGAAATGTTAAGAGAACTTTGCCTAATACTTAAAGCCAGGAAATAGGTTAGGATTCTGTTCGAATAATAGGTACACAGACCTATCCACAACTCGAAAAACGACAAAACTCCTTAACTCTGGAAAACAAAGCAGAGAAGATCAGTAATGTTTTAGTCAAAAGTCATAAAATTCTATTTCACCAGTTAAAACTCATGTACTTTATCTGTTGTTATGATCTGATCTTTCCATTTAAATTCTGGAAGATAATGCTCAACTCTGGACTTGTCCCTACCATTAAGCTGGACATTTTCTTAGCTGTTTTAGAACTCTTATTTCTGTGTGTCTGACTTTAGTTTTCCTGGGATAGCATTCCCTTCAGAACTTCTTGGAGAACTGTTCTGGTGTTGGTAAATTCTTTCAGGTTTTGTTTATCTGAGAATGTTCTTATCTTCTCTTCCTGTATGAAGGATAATCTTGCCAGATACAGTATTCTTGGTTGAAATTGTTTTTCACTCAACACTTTGAATATATTTTCTCATTCTTTCCTTGCATTGTTTCTAATGAAAGGTCTGCTGTTAGCCTAATGGGATAGCCTTTGTAGGTAACTTGCCATCTCTCTCTTGCCAATCCTAGTATCTTGTCTTTGTCTGTGGTTTTGGTCATTCTGGCTATAAGTGTCTTGGAGAAGACCTTCTTGGGTTGATCCTATTTTGAATCCTTTGTATTTCTTGGGTCTGAATCTTTGAATCCCTCTCTAGGTTTGGGAACTTTTCTTTCAGGATTTTCATGGAATAGATTATCAGTGTCCTTATGAGTCTCTTCATCTTCTGGGATACTGATTATCCTGATGTTTGGATGTTTAATGGTATCTAGTATTTCTCATATATTGTTCTCAGTTTTGTGGGCTATTTTCTCAGTCTTTATGGTGGATTTTACTAGTCCAGCAATTCTGTCTTCTACATTTGAGATTCAATTTTCTGTATGATCTAGTCTGCATTTAATACTTTCAAAGGAGGTTTGGATTTCCTGTATTATAGCCTTCATCTCCAACAGTTCCATTTGATTCTTTTTTATGGTGTGTATTTCCTCTTTCAGCTCTCGCAAGAACTTCCTCACCTCCTGGAACTCATCGGCTTTTTCTTCTGCTGTTCATTGTCATTCTTCTCTTCCATTTCTGTTAGCTTTGTCACTATGAATATTCTAAATTTTTTATCAGGCATTTCCATGAGTTCCATTGTACTGTCTATGGATGAAGAGGAGTTATTCTTTTCTGTTGGGGGAGAGGTATTTTCATGATTTCTCACATTTCTTGAGCCTCTGCAGTGATTTCTAGTCATCAGATGGGTTACTCGTTTCTTCCTAATTTCAGGGTGACTTCTCAGCAGAACATCTTCATTACTCTTATCCATGAAAGCACTGGATCTCAGCTCTCATGGCCCAACATAGCTAATAATATCATTGTATCAGAATGAAGCTTGAGGGGACCTGCAGATGGTGTAATGTTAGGTCGCTAGACTCTACATCGTTAACCGTGGTTTTGGTCCTGGACCCAGCAGCTTAAACTCACACCGAGCAGAAGTGCATGTGTGCCCAAAATCTTGAGAGGAGAATGGAGGAGAGGGAATGTAGCGTGGCTATCCCCTCTGGGGGGTGATTTCTCCCTTTCTGTCTCTCTGTCTCTGCAGCGAG